TTCTGTCCTAATTTCTTCTTCTCTGTTTCCCTTTCTGCATGCGGATTCCTGCCTCTTCCTCTGACCCTCCACTTGCCTGGCACTGCTTTCTTTTTCCTCCTCTTTCCTTGATTTTTTCATCCACTTCTGCCCCCCTCATCTCCATCCCCCTGGCACCCCGTATCCCATAGTCTTATCAGAGCCAGTGGCTCCAGGGGGCCCAGGTGAGGGGCTTCTCCTGCAGGATAACACAATCTCGGCTGAGATCCGGGCTTTGCTTTCCTCCTATTACAGTGACAGGTGATGGTCAGGGCTGGGTAGGCCTGGGACCTGAGCTCTGACTAGCCCCCTCCCCTCAACCCCTTCCTGGTGCCACAGCTATTGAGCCGCTGGATGACATCGCAGCGGTGACAGACATCCTGGCCCAGCGGGAGGGCGCAAGGCTGGAGACACCCCCACCCTGGCTAGCAATGTTTACAGAACAGCCTGCCCTGCCTGGCCCCTGCTTACCTGCCTCAGTGGCCCCAGCCCCAGCTCGGACCCATCCCATGCCCTGGGGGCGACCCCGAACATTCTCCCTGGATGCTGTTCCCCCAGACCACTCCCCTGGGGCTTCCCGCTCGGTTGCCCCTCTCCCCCAGCAGCCATCCCCACGGTCCAGAGGCCTCTTCAGCAAAGGCCCGCCCCGCACTTGGCTACAGTCACCAGTGTGAGAGAGAAAGGTGCTGGCAACAGGATCTGGCCAGAGGAAGAGAAGACCTGTGTGCATTTGGGCTCTGGATGTGGTGCTCTCAGTAGCAGGTTGGCCAGCTTGGCCTCCCCTTCCTCTGCTGGACTGGGGGTAGACTGGGGAGGAGGAGCAGAAGCCCCTCTTAAGCTGTGGTTGCCAAGGTGTTGAGGGGCTCATTCCTGGGACTGGCTGGTATCCCCTAAACCCTTCCTGGGAGAAAACTGGAACCAACCCTGCCCTACCTCCCTGCACTAACCAGCTTTGAGGATGGCACTGAAGAGCCTTGGGAGGGAGTGCACCTCCCTTGTGACTCTCACATCAACCATTAAAGCTATTTAACGGCAGCCTTCACCTGGTTCTTGAGGACGGGTTGTCTTTCTGCTTGGTCTGGACCTGCCCCAGCCCCTTACCCCTGGAGCTTAGTTGACCAGGAGTCATGAGGTATAACTGATACTGAGTAATCAGACAAGGGCTGGGCGGAGGTGTACTTTATAAATACCACAGGGAGAAAGGACAACTGCTCTTCTCTCACATGCTGCTGAATCTCATGATCTCGGCGAGGTCATAGCCAGTCACAGCAAAGGAGCTCCCCGCGGGGTCACAGAATCGGGCACCGCACACCTGGGTGTCAGGTACACACTCACCATGACAGTGTTCCACCTGGGGGAGAAGAGGGTAGCTCAGGGCCTGCTGCCTCAGGCTTAGGCCCCCCTTTCCACTCCTGCCACCACACACACCTCAGTGTTGCCACTCTCTGGGCTTCTGCTCAGCTTCCAGATGTGTACGAAGGTGTCCTCAGCTGCAGAGAGAAGCTATAAAAAAACGTGGTTGGCTGAGCGGGCATTGGCACATGCTGACAGGACCGTGATAGGCTGAAGTGCCTGGTCCCGATGCCCAGGGAGAGGGCTACACTGAGTAGCAGACACGTCTGTGGAGTTTCTCAACATCCCCAGCACCAGGAACAAGCGTATGGAGGGAGAGAGAAGGAGACTGACCTTTCCCACCTCGGGAGCCAGGTCCAGGGCACAGATGGCCCGGGCGTGGGCACTGATCTGGACATGTAGAGTTCCTGTGCTGGCCTCATACAGACGCACCTGCCCGTCCCCATAGCCTGCTGCTACTGTCCCTTGCCACAGCTGCACAGAAGGGCATGGGACCCTGCAAGGGTGATAACACACTTTAATTTCCTTGGACCCCTTGGGAAGGCATCAGTACCCTCCCATCTCACCTACCCAAATCCTGGAATTCGGGTCAATAATTTGAACTCGGGCCCTGACCGCCAGACACACAGCAAGCCTGAGTCATCTGCTGTCACCATGTCAGCCATACAGTCCTAAGGAGAAAAGCAGGATCAGTCCTTCCCTTTCCCCCTGCTGGGTCCTGTATACAGGGCAGGAAGGGAGGGGAGGCAGTATTTGTATCTTTGCCTCTCTAGGAAAAGGGCAAGATGTGCAGCTCTCCCAGGCTGGATGTGGGGTTCCCTCAGGATGCATGAAAATCTTTCTTTGCTTTCCTTAGAGCCTCATTCCCCTGACCTGACAAACAGTATGTTAGGAGGGGGGATATAACTGTCCTCACTGGATGAATGCTAAGACTGAGCCCACAGTGTTATGACCTCCTGGAGGTCCTGCAGAGAGCCAATCACAGTCATGACTAGAGCCCAAACCCCTTGAGGACCCACAACCCCAGGCAACCAACAAAGCCCATGGGCCCAGCGGTGGGTAAGGTGCAGTGAGCATATGAATTAGGAGATACATCCCCTGTTCTCAAGAGGTTTGCAATCCAATTAGGGAGACAAGAGTTGTCTTTAAGGGTAGTACCAATTCAGGGTTCAGCCAAGGGAGATCAGTGGGAGGGGGAACAGGGGGATGGCTTCCCAGAGAAAGTGGCACTGGAGGTGGGCCTGAATAGGTAGGACAAGCCCAGAAAAGGAAACTGCACGTGTCAGAGTTGAAAAGCATCTTAGAAACCATCTGTCCCAACTCCTCAATCCACACTAGTATTGAAAAGTGTTCGTGAACTATTAAATGCCACGTAAATGGAAAGTAGGGCTTCATCACTGGACTTAAGTTTGCTGAAGCCTAGGAAAGTGCAGCAATTTACCCAAAGTCATCCAGCTGCTTAGTGACAGAGTCAAGACTTAAACCCAGGTCTCCTGCCTCCCAAGGTGGGAAGGCTCCCAGGCTCAGTGGAATTGGTAGGGGAATCCACTCACCTGTCCCTGGGCAGGCTCGGCAGCAATGTCTGTGACTGGTGTCTGGTGCCCAGCCAACTCTTCACTCAGTACAATGTTGGGACCCTTGGCTGGGATGTCAAACACCAGTACCCGGCCCGACCAAGTTCCTGCAGAACCAGTGCCCCACTGATGGCTTCCTGATCCTCCCCAGTCTCCAACCACCACATGTAGCACCCCATCCCATAAATCTTCTTAACTAATCCCCAACACAGGGCTCCAACAGCTCTGCTCCTCCACTGACTACCATTATTCTATCCTAACCTACCCCTCTGAAGCCCTCTATGCCTTTCTGGAGTCTCTAAGAACCCCCTTCAATCCCATCCTTCCCTCTAACCCTCAACAATTCCCTCAAACCTTCAGCATCCTCCTGACCAAAGCCCATACCCCCACACCCTAGCACCCTCATGCCCTGCCTTTGGCCCCCTCACCCACACAGATGAAGTGGCCACTGGAAGCAATTCCTCGGGCAAACACAGCCTGTACTGAGTATGAAAGGGGAAAACAATTAGAAATAGCACCTCCTCCAGCCTCACCAAACACTCCCTACCCTGACCACACTCAAGTCCTGCAGGTACCTGGAGATGCATCTCCAGAGTCCAGTGCGTGCCAATAGACCATGACAGAGCCATCCGACTCATACATCTGGAAGACAAGAGCAAGATGGGAGCACAGTCCAGCTGACCTTTGGTGAGCTGTGTACTTCACATATTCATGTTAGGCCTTAGCCCTTTTAATCCTTAAAACAACCCTGGAAGGCAGGCACTGCTTTTATTTCCATTTTACAGAGGAGGGCATTGAGGCTCTGAGAAGTTAACTAAATTGTTGGAGGTCATACAGCTAGTAAAGGGGAAGGTATCATCCATGGCACTTGGGAGCTGGAAAAGATGGAAGAAATGAAGATGAGAAATAAGGAAGAATGGGCTAAACATGTGAAACGTTTGTAAGTGCTTAGAGGCAAGTAGGGAAGGTCTTGAGGCTTCTGGGAGGAGTTGAGAAAACTCTAGTGGGCGGAGGCTAGGAAGTGCCTCTTCTTACCTGTATTCCTCGATGTGAGGTGAGTACCAGCAACACTCGGAAAGGGAGGACACACCAGTGGACCTAGAGGGAAGTGGCCCAGTAGGAAGAAGTGGTCAGAGCAGAGGACAGGAGGACTCAGAAGAGCATTAAATCAGAGGGTTAGGGAGGGCCTATTCCTTGAGGTTTGGAAAGGAAGGACAGAGCTTAGGGCCGGGTTCAGCAACACCACTCACCTGGGTGATAAGCGGAGGGCTCACTCCAGCTCCCTCCTTAGCGTGGAGTTGGCGCTGGGCCAAGGGCACACCCTCAGGGGCAGCGCTGAGAAGCTGGGCGCTGGGTCCGTGGACAACCCCAAAATGTGTGAGGTTGCGGGAAGGCACCTGCAGCACACTGAGGTTGTTGCACAGGGCAGCGGCCGAACCTCGAAGGGGAATGGAGCGCTCCCGGCGGAACATCCTAGTGGAGAGAGGCTCGAATCACAGGCGCGCTGCGAACAGTAGACAGCGGCGATTCCTTCTCGAGGAATGGGGGCGGGGTGCAGGGTGAGGGGGGTGCTCTCATGAGGCACTAAAGACCACTGGGAGTGGATCAGGATGTGATGGGGAACCCGAGGACGGCGATAGGGGAGTCCGGAGTGGAGAGGTCTTGGGAAGCGGGAAAAGGGAACCCTAGGGCTGAGTCATGGGGCGACGGGGAAATCCCAGAGGAGGAATGGTGATGGCACAGGACTCGGTGGCTCCAAGCGTCCGAGCGAAGGCGGGATGAGGCAGGGTAGCCCCCAGACCCTTCTTGTCTCAGCTGGGTCCCTGAAGCTCCCGGCCAGGGTCAGAGGTTACACCCGCAGGTCGGCTTGCCTGACTTCAGGATCTGGAGGTCCCGGCGAATCCGCCGCCACCATAGAGACGACGCACGTACGCACGGCCAATAGGCGGGGCCGAACGACCCAAACTTGCGGAGAGCGGCGCGGTTGCCAGGGCAACTGTGGGCGGGGCGAGTCTCTCTGCGGGGGTTGAGCCTCTCGGTGCTAGGCGCCGTTGCTAGGACGACGGTTAGGCAGGCGCCGCAGCGGCAAGGCAGGGAAGCTCCTTGAAACCCCGCGGTTGGAGCTACAGCTGCGGCAATGGCTCACGAAGGCTCGGTGAGCTTCAGCTCAACTGGGGGTGCGCCAGAACCGGGATGGGCCTTTAAGATCGATGTCGGGAACCACGCATGGGGTCGGCTCCACGCCAATCGGCGCCTGCCCACCATGCGAGCCTTCGTGGTGACCAAGAAAGCCACGTCGGTCTTGGGCAGAAAATCTACATCTGCACCACGCACGCTGACACGCTCTGCCAAACTCGGAACCTGAGGGAAAAAGTCAAATGGGTTGTGCAGAGGCCAAGAGCAGGAATTGACTTTGGAACAGCTAATGCATGTAATAAGTCTCTTATACTGAGGTACCCATTCAAATGGATAAACTAGAATTGGTCAGGCATTGGGGAGAGGTGTTGCTAAGTAAATTCCCTTTCAAGGATTTTAAGAGAAAGAAATGGAGTAAACAACTCTCAGGCTGCACTTAAAAGTCAAATTGTTCAAAAGCCAACACAATTTTAAATAAAACAGATTTGAGGAGGCTTTGTGCTATAATATTTCTAGCCCCACTGGTCAGGCCACGCCTAGGTACGGCCACTATCCGGGTTCCACATGAAAGGCTGGGAGGGTAAATCCAAGGAACAGACTCTCCTCTCCCAACCCTACCTGCCCTGCTCTAGCCAAGCCTGGTCTGGGCTGTGAGTTATTCCCTGGGCTTGCCCGTCAGGGCTATTTTCACTAGCAGAGAAGGGAAATGAGGCTTAAGGAATTTTGAGTTCAGTGTAAGGCTTAGGAAACACCAGATCTGGGGGAGAATGACTTTGGGAGGGACATCTGGTAGGAAGCAATAAGGTTGGGGTGAGGAGGCAAAGATTTGGGAAGATTATTTGGAAGGAACCAGGTTGACAGAAACTTGCAGGAAAGTGAGGAGGCTCCCAAGAATCTGCTTGTAACTTTCTTATGTCCCTAAAATGAATTTATGGAACCAATCTTTTTCTTTTTATGTGTTCTTTTCTTGATTATAAAAGGATACAGACTCATTATAGTATAGAGAACTTATAAAAGAGAAGAGCACAAGAAATAAACATACCCACTGTTACAGTTTTGGTGTTTTCCTTTTCAACACAGAATGGTTTATACATCGGAGATGATACTTGATATGTAATTTTGTGTCCTGTTTCTATCAGTTATCATTACATCATAAGTATTTTCATGTGCTATGGTAAATTCTTCCTAAAGTATCTTTAATCGTTGCATAATATTCCATAATATAGAAGGCACACAATTAGCCATATATTCTTTTCGTTAGACATATGTTTTAAATATTCTGCTTTTGGGGGCACCTGGGTGGGTTAGTCGGTTAAGCGTCCGACTTTCGCTTAGGTCATGATCTCGCGGTTTGTGGGTTTGAGCCCCGCGTCGGGCTCTGTGCTGACAGCCAGCTCAGAGCCTGGAGCCTGTTTCGGTCTGTGACTCCCTCTCTCTCTGACCCTCCCCTGCTCACGCTGTCTCTCTCTCTCTCTCTCTCTCTCCTAGAAATAAATAAAACATTAAAAAATTTAAAAAAAATATTCTGCTTTTGTAAATGACAGCTCAGAGAATATGTTGAAGGATATATTGTTATTTTCATTCTGGAATATACCTTTGAATGTGTTTACAAAACTGGATTTGATGTTTTTGAACGTTGGACATCTTTTCAAATGTTTATTAGTCATTTACAGTTCCACTTTTGTGAAATGTTATGTCCTTTGCTTATCCTTGGGGTCTTGGGCTTTTTGTTATTTTATGTGAGGTTTTTTTTATTTTTATTTTTTTTTAAATTTTTATTTATTTATTTATTTTAATATTTTTCTTTATTTCTAGGAGAGACAGAGAGAGACAGCGTGAGCAGGGGAGGGTCAGAGAGAGAGGGAGACACAGACTCTGAAATAAGCTCCAGGCTCTGAGCTGGCAGTCAGCACAGAGCCCGACGCGGGGCTCGAACCCACGAACCACGAGATCATGACCTAAGCGAAAGTCGGATGCTTAACCGACTAAGCCACCCAGGCGCCCCTCTGTGAGTTTTTAATATATTTGGGAATATTTATCCTTTCTTATATTTATTACAATTAAAATTTTTTTTAATTTTTAAAAGTATTTTATTTATTTCTGAGAGAGAGAGGCAGCGTGAGCAGGGGAGGGTCAGAGAGAGGAAGACACAGAATCAGAAGCAGGCTCCAGGCTCTGAGTTAGCTGTCAGCACAGAGCCTGACTTGGGGCTCGAACCCATGAACTGCGAGATCATGACCTGAGCTGAAGCCAGACACCCAGCCGACTGAGCCACCCAGGCGCCCCATATTGCAATTTTTTTGAAAGCAGGATAAAGTCAGGCTCTAGAGGCAGACAGACCTGCCAATGAATTATGACTCCACTACTTCTTTGCTGTGTAATTTGGGCAAATTCTGTAAAATAAGGATAAAAATAGCATGTAGTTTAAAAAAATGGAAGACTTGAGTCAATTGTATGTAACTGAAATATTTAAGTGCCAGTAAATTGTAACTACTGTCAGCTTGTACTTAGGAGTGTTTTAAAAATAAGTATAGGGAAAATTTGCATATACACACACACACACACATACCTCTTTAGCTGTTTCTTTATTATTTCTTACATAATTTTTATACTTAGGTAGTTTTTTCTCACACAGAGATTGTATGACAATTTAACCTATTTTTTCCTACATTTAATTTTTTGCTTATATTTTTATTTCATTTGCATGTGTGTATTCGTTAATTCATCTGGAATTTATTCCTATGTATATTGTGAAATGAGGATCTACGTTGATTTGGGGGAAAAAGGAGACTCTAAAGAACACTAACCATTTGTTGACTTGTTCTTAAGTTCTTTGAACTCTCAAGAACTTCGAACCTTTTGAACTAATGCCAATAGCAGGGACTGTGGCATTAGAGCTATATATAATTTGGGTGTACTCTGTAATCTCAAACAAGTGATGGTTAACTTGTGTCATTTCAGTTTCTTTGTAAGATGGGTTTAGTGAGCTATTATAAAAATTAAACTAGCTAGGTCAAACAACTAAAAATGCATCTGACACATAGTAGGCTCTTAGTAGATTGTTCCTTTCAAAAGGCTTTTCCTTCCTGCTGGACAACTTGAGAAAGCTTCCTCCTAGCCTGTAGCTGCCTCCCCATTCCACTTCTGTCGGTTTTCTGCCCTGATTGCCCTGTTCTTTCCTTACAGAGGCAAGAGAGGCAGATCCGGGACCGTGGGGTGACCCGATCCAAGGCGGAAAAGGCGAGGCCGCCTACGGTGCAGGTGCCACAGGTAGACATTGTGCCTGGGCGGCTCACGGAGGCAGAATGGATGGCACTCACGGCTCTGGAGGAGGGAGAGGATGTTGTGGGGGACATCTTGGCTGATCTGCTGACGCAAGTCATGGACTCTGCCTTCAAAGTCTACCTGACCCAGCAGGTGGGCCTGGATGGGGGTTCTTCAGACCGTCTCTACCCTGCCCACCCCCAGCTGGGCTAAGATCCTCTCTCACCTCCGTAGTGCATTCCATTCACCATTAGTCAGGCCCGGGAGGCGATGCTGCAGATCACTGAGTGGCGCTTCTTGGCCAGGGACGAGGGAGAATCTGCAGTGGCCGAGGACCCCACGTGGGGCGAGGACGAGGAACCTTTGGCATGCATGACAGATGTTTGGGCTCAGGGATCAGTGCCCGTGCTACAAGCGCCCACCTCTGTGGGGCTGGAGGAGATCTTCCAAGACGAAGTAAGCCCAGCCTCCAGATCCCTCTGACCCTCAGCCCCCTACCCTGAGCCCATCGCTGCTGCTTGCTGCCTCTTGGTACTCTTCAGGGCCTCTCTAGACTCCTCCACCCTTAGTTCCGCTCTCCCTTTTCCGATGTCTCACTACCCACCCTCCACCCCTAACCACGGTGCATATCCCTAGGACCGAGGGAGCGTGGACCAGATCTCTTTAGGAAGATCGTGGATAGCTAGAGGCTCTCAGGAGCAGATGGAATCTTCGGAGGCTTCTCCAGAGCTGAGAGTCACTTCGGACCCCCCACCTACCCCAGAGCTGTTTCAGGAGATAGGAACCGGGGGTCTTTTAGAGGAACTGGATGTCCAGGCCAGAGACCACCAGTCTTCAGCTGGATCCTCGAGAAGCCAGCAGTCAGTAGAGATGGCTCCCGATGGCAGTCCTCACCCTTTTCCGAAGCTGTCCCAGGTAGCCAGCACCCAGGCCGCGGCCCAGAGGGTACAGCCCTGCGGCTCCCAGTTCTCGCTGGAGGACCACTATTATTGCACCATACAGCCACCAGAGGCTGGGGAGTGGCTGAAGCTCAAGAAGGGGAAAGTGCACCGCATGGACTCGGTCATGTGGGTGGCCAGCTCTTCCACCTCATTCGAGACACAGCAGCCTACGGGCGCGGACGCGCTGCACGGCGCGCTTCACTACAGGGTGGGCCGCAAGGCCACGGCGCGCCTAGACCCCGCGCGGCTTCCGCGCCACTGGGTGCGCCCGCTGGTGGAGGTTCTGGTTCCAGACTCCGAGGCGCGCCCCCTGGAAGCCTACCGCGGGCGCAAGAGGGGCGTGAAGACCGATGCTCAGGCCGGACCGGTAGCACCAGGCCCCCGTGTCCGTGGCTCCCCGACAGTTTACTTTTCTCTCCCGCCTAGTGCTTCTTTCCGTGTCTTGGGCCGGGGCCCTGGTCTCCAACCCCCCTCTTTGACCTTAGGCCTCCAGCCTCCAGGCTTTGGGTCAAAGTTGCCCTTTCCCAGCCCTGGGATTCGCTTTCTTGCCACCCACTCAACCCTCCAGGATCTGGCCCGGAGCCCCAGCCCTAAACTGTGGCCAGGTGCCAAGTGGCCCAGTGGCTGGGAAGGGGAGGCCGAGTTGCTGGGCGAGATGTGGGCAGGCCGCAGCCATGTACCTCTGCATGGTCATCACCCCAGGGACCGGGAGGGTCAGGATCCTCACATGTGGCTTCAGATGTCATCTGGAGTTCTCGAGGCCACGTCCCAGGTGATGTGGAAGCCCATGTTGCTGCCTGAGGCGATCAAGCTGGCTCCCGGTGTGAGCTTGTGGAACCCAACCTCCCAGGTGCTGCTCAGATCTGCAGGACACCGGCAGGTGGACAAAGGAGGCAGCATTTCTTCTTCCGTCCAGCAGCACCCCATCCAGACTGGTGCCCCAAAGCCTCAGGTGACCATGAGACAGCTAATGAAGAAGTCAACCCCCAAAGTGTAGTCACTCCTCTCCAAGCACCTGCCCTATTCTGGGTCCTGAAGCTCAGTCAGTATTTTCCTTCTTTCTGGTTGCCAGAATAAACACCTCAGTTGCTTTAAGAGTTGGCCTGATGTCTGTCAGTTTTTTCCAAGAGGGTTTATTCAAGAGCAGTTGTCCTGCAGGCCTGGAAGAATGTGGAACATTGGTTCCAAGTAAAAACCCCATTTCCACCCTTAGGAGACACTGAATTAGGGCTAAGGTTGCTTTCCGGCAGACGCATTCTGGAGAACCATCTCCCTCTCTACAAAGGAGTAGACAGGGGCTGCAATTGGGGTCTGCCTCAGTTGAAAGAACTTAGAGTCTCCTTGCAGTAGGGGACTGAGGGGACAGCCCTGCTTAAGCACACAGTGATTAAAGACAGGAGAAACTTGGTATTTTGCTGCTTCAGTTCTGGAGCTCATCAATGTACCTTAGAGTGGAAGTCCAAGTTTCACTATGAGCCTCCAGCGGGAAGCACTGACTCTACACCAAGGACAGCAGTGAGGCAATGAAGTGACTAAGGCATACAATTTAAGGTGGAGTTTACTCTTTAAAATTTTTTTTAATGTTTTATTTATTTTTGAGAGAGAGATAGAGACAGCGTGAGCAGGGGAGGGTCAGAGAGAGAGGGAGACTCAGAATTAGAAGCAGCTGTCTCCCTCTCTCTCTGACCCTCCCCTGCTCACGCTGTCTCTCTCTCAGAAACTAAATTTAAAAAAAAAAAAAAAGCAGCCTTCAGGCTCTGAGCTAGCTGTCAGCACAGAGCCCGATGCGGGGCTTGAATCCACGAACCGTTAGATCATGACCTGAGCCGAAGTCGGACGCTTAACCAACTGAGCCACCCAGGCGCCCCAAGGTAGAGTTCACTCTTGATTTCAAACAGGGTGCTTGAATAAATCGGAGAGTGACTGCCTCTTTAAATTTTGTGTCCTAGACACCACACCAACCTGACTGCTAATCACCACTCAGCTTTGATAAGCTCCTCCCCAACTTACCTTCACTTCAGCACAACACTTTTGGTAGCAGGTCAGCAAGTTTTTGCGATGTTGCAGTGGCCTCTACTCAGCACCCTTGTCTGGAACCCTGGCTCTTTCCTGCTCATTCTGGTCCTCCTGCTTAGACTATATGTGTGGCTCTGGCATAAGTATTGTCTTTGGGACCTCCAGCAGTGCTCCACAGACTTGACTGGGAAGACAGCAGTGGTGACTGGAGCCAACAGTGGTGAGTGCTCTTCCCATCCTTCTACCTCGGTTAGTGTCTCAGTCCAGTCCCCAAGAGCCACAATGAGGCTGGCCAGAGGGCCAGCATACACTTGCTCTATTGCCCTTTGGAGTCGCTCCCCAGACTAGCCTATCCTGAAGCTGCCCTCCTACAGGTATTGGGAAAGCTGTGTCCCAGGAGCTGGCTAGCCGTGGGGCCCGGGTAATCCTTGCCTGCCGTAACTGGAAACGTGGACAGCAAGCCCTAGCTGAGATCCAAGTAGCCTCAAAGAACAACTGCCTCCTGCTTGGCCAGGTGAACTTGAGCTCTATGGCCTCCATCCGTAGCTTTTCCCGGTGGCTTCTGCAGAAGTGTCCTGAGATTCATCTGCTGGTTAACAATGCTGGAATCTGCGGTATGTCCCTTGAATTGCTTCCCCCAGACACATTGCAGGAGACTCCTTTCCAGTTCAGGGACCCTAATACAGGCACACCCAAACCTAGCCTGTGCACCCTGCTGAATAGTGTTAATTCATAATGATCCTAAAAAGCCCACCTTAAGTAATTACCCCCATCCTTGCACATTCATGTTCCTGTCGAGTTTCTACTGAACGCCAAGATATGCCCTAGATCTTGTGTCCCTCCATCACTCACTACCTATGTTCTCATTTCCTCCCAGGAGTCCCCAAGACACTTACCCCAGAGGGTCTTGATCTCACCTTTGCCACCAACTATGTTGGGCCCTTTCTGCTTACAAATCTACTCCGAGGTAAGGAAGGATAGGTGCCTACCTTCTGTGCTACCCTCACTTCTCCATTCCCCTGGCATTAAAAAAAATTTTTTTTAATGTTTTTTATTTATTTTTTGAGAGTCAGAGAGACAGCGCAAGCAGGGGAGGGTCAGAGAGAGATACAGAATCCGAAGACAGGCTCCAGGCTCTGAGCTAGCTGTCAGCACAGAGCCCGACATGGGGCCCGAACCCACGAAATATGAGATCACGACCCGAGCCGAAGTCTGACGCTTAACTGACTGAACCACCCAGCTGCCCCTCTCCTGGCATTTTTATAGCTAACCGTCTCCATGGCTACTTCCTTTCCCTTGTCCCAAACTATTCACTGAGTGATGACCCAGTAAGGTTTTTGCTGCACACGTCGGGGCAACCCACCTGACCCAAGTCAGGAGGAAGAAGCTGGTAAAAAATCAGTCAGGCCAAAATACAACCAGCAAAGGGATATAATTCCCACCTCTTTCCCCCAGCTGTGAGTTCTAGCTATACCAGTGGAGTCAATCATCTCGACAAAAACTTCCTAAGGGTGGCACTAGATTACTAGAAACATAGACACCAAGAAGACCTACTTCCTGCTCTCAAATAGCTCAAGGCCCACCAGGAATCTAGACAGAACACATCACTGTCTTGGACCCAAATCCTTTCACTTTCTGATTTTTTAATCTTTTCTGATTAAGGAGGTTTGGGTTCCTCCTGGGGAGGCTGGGGCAGAGTGAGTGGTGGGTGCTTTCTTCCTAACATCCTCTCCTGGATTGCATAATAGCCTCTTTAAAATAAAATCAAACTTTTTGGGCTAGATCATATGTGTCCAAAACATAAAACTGAAAGTGTACAAAAAGGATGACACTAAAAAAACTCTCCTGTCAGGGGCACCTCTCAGGGTGGCTCAGTTGGTTAAGTGGCCAACTTTGGCTCAGGTTGTGATCACTCAGTTCGTGAGTTCAGGCCCTGCTTCCCTGCGACAGGCTCTGTGCTGACAGCTCAGAGCCTGGAGCCTGCTTTGGATTCTGTGTCTCCCGCTTTCTGCCCCTCCCCCACTCACGCTTTGTCTCTGTCTCTGTCTCTCTCTCAAAAACTGAATAAACAAAAAAATTAAAACAAAAAAACCTCTCCTCTTCTCCTTGAAAATCAGGTACCCGTTTCCGTCTTGGGAGGCAATTTGTGTTGCCAGGATCTCATGGGTTCTTTATGGCTGATTAAATTAGCCCCGAATGGGAAGTGAACAAGAGCAGGGTGAAACTGCATGGGTTTGCAAATAGGAATGTTTTGTCTCCTTTCCAAAAATTTGAACGCCCAGGCTGCACCTTGCTTAGTAGTAGGTTCTTAAACTGTCTTCTCTCTTCCCCTTCTCTTATCTTTCCTTCCTCCTGCTACTTCTAGAAATCACTTTTCACCATATCACTTGCTTAAAATCCTTGGAAGGAAGGTACTCTATCCTTTACAGGAGAGACTCTAAATCCCTTATCTCCACTTACAGATCCTCTGCAGACTGAGAGCCTCACCTTTTGCCCTTCCTTAATCCACACTCTCCTCGTTAGCAGACAATCTGTAGTTCATGGACTGCACTTTTTTCCCCCTTTAGCTGTGTTCTTGCACATGTAGTTGCCTCTATCTGGACTATCCTTTCCTACTCTTTTAGCCTGGCTAACTTTAGTTCATCCGCCCAGACTGAGCACAGATACTGCCTGTGCTGTGGATCCTGCCCTTCACCTCCCCCAACAGCCTCCCATCTATGGGGCTCCCTTAGCCCTTGTACACATCTCTGTTCCTGCATTGACATTCTTCCACAATGATCGATCTCCAATTAGGCTGTGAGCCCCTTTGATCTTTATGCCTGCATGCTTTGGCTCTGTTCTCTTTAAGAATAATTTTCTTTCCAGCAAATTTTGGCTAAATACCACCTGCTAAAATTTCATTTGTGATTCTTAACCTAAATGTAGGTCTCAAAATAGTTTTAGCATTTTGAACACTATAAACTCATATGTGACAATTATTACTTTTAGTATTTTATATAATCCAGACTTGTGTGTGTGTGCATGTGTGCGTGTGTGTAGGGCACTTAAAATTGTTTTAGCATTTATTTATTTATTTTGAAAGGTGGGGAAGAGAGAGAGGGAGAGAGAGAATCCCAAGCAGGCTCCATGCTGTCAGTGCAGAGCTTGACATGGGGCTCAATCTCGTGAACATAAGATCATGATCTGAGCTGAAATCAAGAGTTGGACACTCAGCTGAGTGAGCCACCAAGGTGCCCCTACCCCACCTTTTTTTTTTTCTTTTTAAGATTTAACTTATACTATTTGTTGTAACTTTATTTTTTTTTAGTTTGGAAGATAGCTGGGTTTTTAAAAAACACTTTCCCAAGTATCTCTATACACATTTCTTCCCCCCTCAACCTAGCACTCTTATGTCCTTAGCACCTATCTTGGTGTCTGCCCTAATCCAGAGACCTAATGAACATTTGTGCGACAAATACGTAAAGTGTCTCCAGTCTCTCCTTTTCCCTCTAGGTCACCAATGAGGTAAAACATAAATAAGAATCCATTAAATTAGCTCCAGCTGGTAAGTGGAAGAAAAGCAAGGCAAAAATCCAAAGTCTACAATGAAAGAGGAGGAAGAACGTTAGGAAAGTAGCTAATGAAAATGAGTGTCAGTTCAAATTAAACTGTCCGGGGCCTAGCCTGGGGAATGTGGGGTGCGAGGGCGCTAACCCTATCCTGAAAGTCCTGGATGGTCCCTGCTGTCTTGGAGTCACCTGGAGAGGCAGGCTGGGGAGTGGGCATTGGAGGGAGTTCATTCCAGAACTTGGATTGAATGAGTGTGGTTTTCTTTCTACCCAGGGGCCCTACAGCGGGCAGGGTCAGCCCGGGTAGTAAATGTGTCTTCCTTTCGGCATGCACATGGGTATTTTGATGAGGAGCATCTGACAGGAGCTGGTAAACCCTTGAACTTTAACCAGAATTACGACTGCAGCAAACTACTCTTGACCTCCTTCACTGGGGAGCTTGCCCGGAGACTTCAAGGGACAGGTAATTGCCTGTGAAACCCCCTCATCCCTCCATTCCCAACGCCACCTCCTAACACTTCACATTTCATGCCAACGTGTTGTGGCCATAAAATACTCCAAGTGTCCCCCAAGCCAGCTGTTAATCTCTGCCATTTATCATCTATACAACCTATATTTCTCTCATCTGTCTGCACATCTCCCATTCAATCTTTCCAATGCTCTTATCACTTCTAACATCCCTTTCCTCTCAGTATTTTCCAATACCAGCACCATCCATTATGTTCCTCTTAAAGTTCACCCAATGCTTTCAAATACTTATGTCTCCTTACTGGCTTGAACACCACCATTCGTGTAAGTTCCGGATGACCGACTTCCCGGACACCACCCCTAAGTCTCTGGTTACCTCGGCCCACAGACCTGGTAGGATCCTCACATTATTGCACACTGGAGAACCACACTTACTCTTTCTTCCAATATCCTCCACTCCTTTCACTTTATGCTCTGCTTTTGTCTCATCCTCTCAGGTGTGACTGTGAACTCTGTGGACCCAGGTATAGTGTACACAGAGATCATGAAGCATTTTTCTTGGTTTTACCGCTTCCTCTTCTGGCTCTTCACCGCCTTCTGCAAGGTGGGTAGGGGAGGAGCTGGCTAGCCTGAAGAGGGTGGGGCAGGGCTCTGCTTCTGTGTCTCCAGTTGGCTAAAGTCAGCTTGGCATGACTCCTCCTCTTCCCCCATGTCTTACAGAATTCCAGACAAGGTGCAATCCCAGTCCTCTACCTGAGCTTAGCAAAAGAGCTGAATGGCATTTCTGGAAAATATTTTAGCAGTTCCTGTATAATAACTCTTCCAGCAAAAGCTGCTCAGGATCCTCAAGTGGCCCAAAGGCTCTGGAATGCCTCGGTCCACATAACAAACCTAGACAAGATGGACTGATCCCCTGTGCCCCCTTGCAATCCTCACTGATTACCAGCCCTTACTCTGATCGTCTGTTGGCTCCAAGTATCAATCACCTTGTCTAGTATAGTGATTACTTCCTCTTCCTGTTGGCTTAGTGGCATGAGAGCTCAGATTAGCTAGGGGACAGTTTTAGCCTCTAATTTACTGCCAGTTCTCTAATGGAAGTATTCATCCCTTGGGTACTGGGATCTCCAAATCTACAGAATCCCATGTTGTGGTGACTGGGAGCAAAACTCCTTCCAGTGGGGATTAGGGGTCCTGGTAAGAAGGGAAACTTCCACCTGTACCTCTTAATTTCTGCATATATACTTCCTGACTTTGGGGGAGACAGCACCACTGTGTGGTGCCCTCTTGATTAAAGCATATACCACCTGTATATGCTGTAGGATAGCAGTCTGACTTTGCAGAGTGTTGTCTCAACTGATACTGTAACTGAGCCTGCAGATGATTATTCCACATTTCCATCAAACCAGCTGCTCCTGGGTGATGAGCCAAGCATTAAGATCCATGAATTGTGGTGGTGGGAGCCCATTGCTTTTTTCATTGGGTTTTGGTTCATCTATGTAAATTTTGGAATCAGCTCTTTAAATTTCACACACACAAGAATACTTTTTGTGGCTGTATTCCATCTACTTGGGAGGATTGATATTTTTATGATATCCAGTTTTCCTAACCTTGAACAAGTATACTCCTATTCATTTAACTCTTCTTAATATCTTTACCAAATTTTCAATAATTTTGTAAATGAAGATCTTGTACCAGCTTTACTATATTTTATTCAGGTAACTTAATTTTGATGCTATTGTAAATGGGGCTTTAACCTTGGTGTGCTGATTGTCTATCAAACAATTTCGATAAGTTGTCAGATTTTAATGTGGTATCTGTAGGTGCTTTTGGTTTTTCTACATAGAAAATCATTCCATCTAGGAAAAATAAGTTTTACTCTTTCCCTTTCAAGTATTCTAACTTTTGTTTCTTTTTCTAGGAGTCCCTTATAGATTTTCCAGTATTAAACCAACCTTGCATTTCTGAAGTAGACCCAATAAACTGCCTTGCATTTCTGGTCACAGTGTTGTATATTCATTGCTAAATTGAACATGCTCGTTATTGTTTAGACTTTGTATTGTGTTTATAAATGAGACTGACCTACACTTTTCTTTCTAAAATTTTGTTTAAGCAATCTCTACACCCAACGTTGGGCTTGAACTCACCACTCTGAGAGGAAGAGCTGCACGCTCTTCCAGCTGGGCCAGCCAGATGCCCTGGCCTGTACTTTTCTTTGCCTGTATTGACATTGCCTGTTTTTGCTCTCATGGATCTATTCATTTTATACAATGAATTGGGGATTTGTGTTAGTCCAGAGACATAATCTGCGAAGCAGTTGACAAGTTAGGATTGAATGTACAAGAAACTTATTAGGGGAAATGGCTGCAAGAAAATGGGAAGGAAGCTGGGAGAAGCTGAGAGGGCACCAGACTGTGATCTGAATCTGATCATGAGTAAGGGAGGGAAAGAAGGCTGGTTGGGAGCTTCTAAGAGTACAATGCAATTATTTTTTTTTTCATTTTTAAATTCCCTCTCTTGAAAGTATATAATCTATTTCTGTTCTTTAGTGGTTAGTCAAAAAATTTCAACGTACATATTTGACTTAACAGTTTCTTTAATCAGTATCTTTATTTTTCTTTCAAACAATATATAAAGCTTAGTATTCTTAAAAAAATTTTTTTTAATGTTTTTATTTATTTTAGAGAGAGATAGAGACAGTGTGAGCAGGGGAGGGCCAGAGAGAGAGGGAGACACAGAATCAGAAGACAGGCTCCAGGCTCTGAGCTGTCAGCACAGAGCCCGACGCAGGGCTCAAACCCATGAATCGTGAGATCATGACCTGAGCTGAAGTCAGATGCTTAGCCAACTGAGCCACTCAGGCACCCCTAAAGCTTAGTATTCTTTAACAGTAATTATTCTCTTTGAATTTATATGCTTCTGTAAACTAATATTTTGATGATGCTGTTATTTTGTTAATAACACAAATCAGATATATTGTTATCATTTTATTTTATTTTTTAAAAACATTTTATTTTTTATTTTTAGGAGAGAGAGACAGAGTGAGCAAAGGGGGTGCAGAGAGAGAGGGAGATACAGAATCTGAAGCAGGCTCCAGGCTCCGAGCTGTCAGCACAGAGCCCAGTGCAGGGCTTGAACCCATAAACTGTGAGATCATGACCTGAACTGAAGTTGGATGCTCAACTGACTGAGCCACCCAGGTGCCCCTCAAAATATCTCTTTAAAATGTTTTAGTCTACATCTTAATTATAGACAATTTCTTTTTTTTTTTTTTTTATGTTTTATTTATTTCTAGGAGAGAGAGAGAGAGAGACAGCGTGAGCAGGGGAGGGTCAGAGAGAGAGGGAGTCACAGACTGAAACAGGCTCCAGGCTCTGAGCTGGCCGTCAGCACAGAGCCTGACGCGAGGCTCGAACCCACGAACCGCGAGATCATGACCTAAGCGAAAGTCGGACGCTTAACCGACTAAGCCACCCAGGCGCCCCAATTATAGACAATTTCAAATTTTAGATTTTATTTCTATAGGACAGTGCTCGTATAGCTATCCAAGTGCTTCTCTCTCCCTGCACCTGTCCCCCCCCCACCCATAACTGGCATTGTCACCTTTGATTTGCTCTCTGCCTTTATCCAATCCCCTCTGCACATCTGTCAGCCTGAAGACCATCTCCTCCCTCTAGGAGACAGTATTCTGTTCCTCAAAGAGAAGTTTTCCCCTCTTGGTTCCTTCCTATGTTCTGGAATGCCCAAGATTCCACCCAGATGAGCACAGATGTTCTCTATTCAGCATCATGGGTTGGGAGGATGGACTCCAGTCAGCAAAGCGGGGTTTCGGGGTCCTAGGGGTCTTGTTCACAGGACCCCTCAGGCTAGCACCTATGAAAAAAGATATAGAACAAAGACAATATTGACTTTCCTTGAAGACCATGCAGCCTAATCCAATGTAAAAGAAACAATATTTTTCTATTAGCACATCCTGTCCTTTAGACTCAGTGGGACCCCCTTTCATGGTGCTGAGAAGCATTTGGGTCTTTCTTATGTCCCCCACCCCCATTCCATCTGAGGCCTGGCTGTTTCACATGCAAAGTCAGCCCATCTGTTGAAGGTTGTTCAAGTTACTCAGAAGGATGACTCCAGCTCTAAACAAAGTACACTTAAAAAGCAACTTCAAGGCAGATCAATATGTAGTAATACAGACAGCCTCCAAGATATATTGTCCAGTGGAACTAAAAGCAAGGTTCAGAACAGTGCGTACAGGAAACTGCTGTTTGCATCTAAAATGCTTGTTTTCAGACTCTGACTCTGGAACAGCAAAACAAACAAAAAACTGGCACTGAGTTCCTTTGGGTAAGGATCTTGGGGGATGGGATGGGATATGTACGTTTACAAAAATAATGTGCATATTCACAATAGTCAAAAGGTAGAAACAACCCAAATGTCTATTGATGGGAAAATGGATTTACAAAATGTAGTATATATACACAATGGGATATTATTCAGACCTAAAAAAAGAAAGAAATGCTGACCCATGGTACAACATGAATGGACCTTGAAAACATAAGCCAGACCCAAAAGGACAAACATTGTATGGTTCTACTAAAGTACTCGGAGTAGTCAAAGAGACAGATAGTAGACTGTTACCAGGACCTGAGGGAGGGGAGAAAAGGGAGTTCATGTTTAATGGATACAGAATTTCATAATAAAAAGATGAGAAAGTTCTGTAGATGGATAGTGGTGATGGTTGTGTTGGGGAGGAAGAATTTTCCTTTATACTTCAAAATTCTAGCTGGACTAAGAATTAAATTGACCTGGGACAGATTAATAGGAGAAAATCAAATGTAATTACATACATATAGGGAATCCACATAGATATCCCAAAGACAGTCAGGCAAAATGAAATATGTATGTCACCTTGAACTAAGGAGAAGGGAGTAGAAGTCTGGGACTACAGACAGAAGGAAAGCAATTCATGGGCAGATTAAAAAGAGTAAAGTTTGATGATCAAATGGCTGCTGGGACATTCAGAAACAAGGACATACTCACGGCTCCCACAGCGGGCTCTGTGGTGACAGCTCAGAGCCTAGAGCTTGCTTTGGATTCTGTGTCTCTGTCTCTCTGTTCCTCCCTCCCTCCCTCTCAAAAATAAGTAAATATTTTTTAAAAAGGGGGGGGGGCGGGGGCTCCTGGGTGGCTCAGTGAGTTAAACATCTGACTTTGGCTCAGGTCATGATCTCACAGTTTGTGAGTTCAAGGCCTGCAGAGGGCTCTGTGCTGACAGCTTGGAGCCTGGAGCCTGCTTTAGATTCTGAGTCTCCCTCTCTCTCTGATCCTCCCCCTACTTGCACTCTGCCTCTCTCACTCAAAATAAATAAACATAAAAAAAAAAAAAAAAGAAAGAAACAAGAGACATAGAGGGGACTTTGATCAAACAGGCCTTTCTGGGTTCCTCCCTATCTGCCACCCCTAGTTAATATTAGAATGTAGTTATCTATGGTGAGAGCTCTCTTATTGAAGAGATCCTCTATCTAAATTCTTTCTTTATTGAAAAAAAATTTATTTTTTTACATTTATTTATTATTGAGAGACAGAGAGAGACAGAGCACGAATGGGGTAGGGGCAGAGAGAGGAAGAGACACAGAATCTGAAGCAGGCTCCAGGCTCTGAGCAAGCTGTCAGCACAGAGCCCAACGCGGGGCCCGAACTGGGGAACTGGGAGATCATGACCTGAGCCGAAGTCGGTTGCTCAGCCGACTGAGCCACCCAGGCGCTCCTATCAATTCTTTTCGGCAGTTAGATGGAAGGTCAGAGTTTCTTCCTCTTTTGGGCCTTGATGGTTTTTAGCTTGAAATAAGCTGCATGTCAAAGTGACACATTTTGGGGTAGACTGCCCTTGGGCCCTACAGTTGTAGAATAATGTAAGTGCACTTAATTCCATTGAACTGTATGCTTAAAAATAGTTAAAATGAGCATCCAACTCTTGATTTCAGCTCAGGTCATGATCTCATGGTTGTGAGATCAAGCTCCTTGTCAGGATCCATGAGGAGCACAGAATCTACTTAAGATTCTCTCTCCCTCTCCCTCTGCCCCTCTTCTACTTGTACTCTCTCTCTCTCAAAAAAAAAAAAAAAAGGATAAAAGGGTAAATTTATGTGTGTGTTACCACAATAAAAAGTATGTGCATACAGTGCCTTTTAAATTTATTTTCATATGCCATTTCTCTTTAATTGAAGGGGATGGAGGCCACTTCTACTAAAATTACAGATGCGCTTATTATTTGATACAGATGTATCCTACCTGTATATACCTACCCACATATGCAGTGTCATATGTACAAGGCGATTCACTGTAGCCTTGTTTGCAACAGCAAAAGATTGGAAACAAAGTATCCCACCCGAAGAGGCTGGTTCATAAATTATGTATATCCAGGCAATAGAATACTATGCAGCTGAAAAAACTGAGTAAGGAAGATCACTATTTACTGATTTAGAAAGATGTCCAGGATATATTAGATGAAGTAACCGAAGTACAAGTATATATAGGCATGCTACCTTTTACATAGGAAATGGGAGGAGTAAGACTATGTATTCTTATTTGTTTGCATTTCCATAAAACATTTAAAGGATAAGCAAGAAACTATACAAACAAGGGTTACCTGTAGTGGGCAGGGGGAAGGAGTGGGTGGGAACAAAGTTTGAAGGGAGGTTTTTCAGTGCATACTGTTTATATTGATTTGATTTTTTGAATTATGCAAATTCATTATCCATTCAGAATATTAGAAATATTTAGAAGATGAAATGGGAGGAAAACGTGGCAATAGTGGAGAGGTTGCCCAATCATTCTTTCTACCATTTACACCTCTACCCCCACCTCCACCCACTATCAATTTTATGGATTTTTCCGGTTGTTTTCTTTTCTTATTCCTTTCCCCCCCTCCTTTAAGTAGGCTCCACACCACTCCCCTTTAAGTGAGGTGTGAACACATGACCCTGAGATTACTTTACTGACTGAGATAGCCAGGAGCCCCAGGTTGTTTTCAGTCCTAGATTAACTGGGATAAACAAAACAATAGTTATTATTCAGGCTCTTTACATGGATTCATTTAATCTATCAACCTAGTAATATAGATACTATTATTAACATTCTCATTTTACAAATGAAGAAACAGGGACATGGAAGGGGTTAAGTAACTCACCTAAGATCTCACACAGCCTGTAGATTGAGGTCAGAATTTGAGTACTCCATCTTTCAAATCCTGGCTCTCCCAACATCCTTGTACAAATATCTTTGAACACTTGCCCTATTGTTTCATTTCTTTGGCTACGTTAATTAGATATAGTTACATTGGGAGCACCTGGGTGGTTCAGCGGGTTAAGCGTCTGACTTCCGCCCAGGTCATAATCTCACAGTTTGTGCGTTCCATCCCGGCGTGGGGCTCTGTGCTGACAGTTCAGAGTCAGGAACCTGCTTTGGATTCTGTGTCTCCCTCTCTGTTTGCCCCTCCCTGTCTCGCCGTTTGTCTCTCTTTCTCTCAAAAATACACATTAACAACAACAAAAAAAATTTTTTTAAAAAGGAACGCTTAAAAAAAGTGGCTACACAGGGTCAAGGAGTTTGTCCTTTTAGTTTTTCTTCTTTCTAAATTAAAAGAGCCCAAATACCATTATGTACATTGGCATTATTTTACATTCCCCTCATAAGGGCATGACAGGGTTGCCTGGTTGGCTCAGTCAGATAAGCGTTTGGCTCTTGGTTTCGGTTCAGGTCATGGTCTCGAGGTTTGTTTCATGAGCCTGCTTGGGATGTTCTCCCTCTCTCTCTGCCCCTTCTGCAGCTCAAGTCCTCTCTCTCCCCCCACCCCCCTCAGAATAAAAGAATAAACTTGGGGGAGAAAACAAGAGCATGAGAATGCCTGTATCCCCATATGGATAACACTGAGTAGCAGCAAAATTTAATTTTTTCCTCAAGCTTACTGATGAGACAAGGTTTATCACTAATGTTTTAATTAGCAGTTTAGCACTAAAAAGCTTAGTGGCTCCTGGGAGCCATTTGCCCAGAGCAACGAGTCCTCAAGTCCCCGTGCGCTGTCTCCTCTCCGCCGGCAGAGGGCGCAGGCGTAGAGGCGCCCCTCTCCTGTGGTCCTCATTGGCTTCCCAGGCACAGTGCGCACGCGCATATCTCGCTCCAGGTGTCCAGCTTTGTGCCTGACGGAGGTCTCCTCGGCTGCGCTCAGCGCGTAGTTTTTAACCCTGGCTGGTCTTCGGGAAAGAGTAGCGTGTTCCCTGAACCCAAAGCGACTCTGGGTCTCTGGGGCGAGAGGGTGTGAGGCGGGCCTCGGGGGGTCGGGCGGCGCGTCGGGCAGCCCACGCGGGCGGGGCGGGCGGGGCGCGCCCGGCAAGGACTTGGGCGTCGGTCGCCGGCGGTGGGGCCGGAGCCGGGTGCAGAGCCCCTGACAGGACAGGTACGGAGGCGGCCACCCTGCCAACCGTCTCCGCCGCAGCCCCCCGCGTGTTCTCTAGGTTCCCGGCGGTGGACGGGGTGGGGGGGGCGGCTGTTGGGCGGGTGCGCGGCATGGAACCCGGTGTGCGGAGCGGGGACGGTAGGGATGGGCCGCGGCTGGGTGGGCGCCTGCCTTGAGTCTGGGCCCGTCCGACCCACCTGCGCTCTTCATTCTGTTGGTGTTCTCCCGGGGTTAGAGTGGTGGCGCCTCCTAATTCCTCCGCAACGGCGAGGACCCCCCTCCTTTCCTGGGAATGTCTGAGGCACCTCTTGGACCCCTGCCGAGCTACAGGTTTACTTGTGGGCACGTGGTTGAGAAGTTTGTGTCAAAAGAAAAACAAAAATCCATAGAGGACTCAAACGTGGGGGCGTGGATATGGGTGTGGTGTGTCTGTGTCTCCCACTGCTGGGGTGCGCCTTAACTGGCAGCGTGACTCTGGAGAAGTCTTGCACAGTCCTCTTGTCTTTAGGCAGAACTACAGGTAAATCACACACGTGAGGAACTCCGCTGTTTTTAAAGAGGCAATGATTTAGAAGCTGCCCCTCATGTATTGCAGTGAGGAGAACAGCAAGCCCCTATTGACCACTTACTAATCCAGGATGCTTAAGGTACTGAGAGTCAAAGAGCTATGAGGTCAAGATTGACGTTCTTTACCCAGTGTACTGCCAGAGCCTGAGCCACGGAAATGTTAAAGGAAATTACTATAACTTTTTTTTTTTAAGGCATTTTGTGCTCAAATACGTTTTGAAACTTCATGGTTAAAGTTTTCTCTGGAATATTTCAGAGCCCTTGGTATGCTAATGATGTTATTGAAAGTATGTTATAGAGACTTCCCCAGATTTGAATGGGAAATGCCATTTTTCTTGGGCGCTGACTCTGTTTAACATCTGAGATAGTTTGGAAAATGCAATGCAATTCCAGAATTAGAAACTCAGGGTTTGGGAGGGACTGTGTAGGTCAGTGCTTTTCAAACTTTAATGGCGCGCACACCTGCGGATCTTGTTAAAAGCAGATCCTGGTGGGTTCTCCACTTTCTTTTCTTATAATTAGAGAAAGAGCATGCAGGAGCAGGGGAGGGACAGGGAGAGGAGAGGGAGAGAGAGAATGAATCCCAAGCTGGCTCCACGCTGTTAGTACAGAGCCCGCCTTGAGGCTGGATCTCAAACTGAACCATGAGATCATGACCTGAGCCAAAATCAAGAGTCCCACACTTAACTAACTGAGCCACCCAGGTGCCCCTGGTTCTGCATTTCTAATAAATTTCCAGGTGGTGGTGGTGATGGTGCTGCTGCTGCATAGACTACACTTTAAATAAGGGTGTAGATCACTGGATTGAAATTTAGGGACCATGTTCTGCTTCCTGCTTTGTAATATAAACTTTGCTGCCTTGAGCGAGCCACTTCACCTGACCAGGCCTGTAAAATAGGAGGCTGGACTAGAAGAGCACTGAGGTTTCTTTTAGATCTAAAATGCTTGTGATTCCAGTTCCATTACCTTTGTGATGGTTGAAGTCCATCTAAAATATCCTTCCCAAATGGCCAGGTTGGGCTTGAACATTTGGGGAATTTACTACATTTCATCTTCAGATAGCTTAATAAGGAAGTTTTTCAATTCCTGCAATATATCTCTGCAACTTCCATCCTGTTGGTACTAGGTTATCTTTTAGAATTGAATAGAAAAAAAGAGTACAGTCCCCCTTTAGAAAGGTTACTCCTAAAGTATTAGATGATAGTTTCTCCTCCCAAATTTTCTCTGCTGAATTATCCTTAGTTCTTCCATGACATTGTTTCAAATCCCTCTTTTTAAATTGAGTCTTTTCTACTTGGAGTGTTGTGGGGCTTTGGCTGGACTTTGGAGGATGGGTGGGGCTTGCAAGACTAGGGAAAGTATCCTAAGCAGCTGCCAGTGGTGCAGAGATGACACTGCATATGTTAGAGCCAGAGTTGTTTGGTTAAAGTAAGACATGGTATGTCAGTGAAAGATTTGGGGGCGGTGAGTATATGGACAAAATATTTTAGAGTGTATCATTGTTTTACTGTGGTATATAATGTGGTTGGAAATGGAGAAGGAGAGAGGCAGGGAGCCAGATAAAGTTCACATACCAGTAATAGAGGACTTATGTTGATGATATAGGAAGGCCTTATATTTGTGTTTAAGATTTTACAGATTACAGAACCTTCCACAGGCATGATCTTATTTTATTTCATAGTCCTGTGAGGTGGGCAGAGCAGCTGTTAATCCTCTTTTATAGGTGAGGCACCAAAGAGGGAAAATGGTTTGCCTTATTCTCAAAGCTACTAAATGGCCAACCAAAGTGGTGACAGTGGTAATGGAGGTGGAAAGAAGGATGTAGGAGGCAATACTAAGGAAGAATTGGTAAGTTGGGCCTGACTGACATGAGGATATAAAGGAGAAGAAGTTGTTAGGGAGAATTCAAAAGACTCAGGAGAATCGTAATAGAATTGACAGCTGCCACTCTTATGTTTTACTCTACCGTCTCTGTCATTGCTAGTGGCTGCCTGGTGTTATGGGTTGAGAGGGATTGTAGTAGAGGATTCCCAGGTTGCTTGGCCTGTCTACAGCTACTGGTGGTACTGAGGGGACTTGGGTGTCTGTCCCTTACCAAGGGAAATGAGAACTGGATCCTCACTGACCCCTGAGGAGGTAAGTGCTGAACAGTTGACTGACTGAAATCTATCTTAGGGTCCTTGCCATCCTGGAAACTGGATTTAGCTTTATATAATTTTTCTTTTGAAGGTCCGTCTAGTACCAGTAGCACTTGACTGATGGACAGATTGAGTGTCCATTCTGACCTCTCCAAGCTCCTACATATCCCCTCAGGGTTTCACTTAAGTAAATACTAGACCTTTGTCACCCCCAAAGCCTCACTCAAGCTGTTTTCCTGGATCTGCACTTGCCCTAGGGCCTAGAGGTCTCTCTGTGGTCCTTTTACTGTGGAAGCATGAGATTGAGAATTAGCATCACTGCCAAATTGCATAGGACCTGGGGCTGTCCCTACATTTTTAGTTTCTTAGGCTCCTATCTGGAGAGGAAAGAGTTACATCTGCTGGGGTTTGTGTGTGGGTGACTTAATTTCCTCCATGGTGGGGGTCTTTTTGGGGTGGAGCTACTCTGGGAAAGTTGTCAGAGCCAGCTTTTATCCCTAGAGCCTCATGTTGGTACAGGCTTGTATTTAACATTAAATTTCTTCTGTGTTCAGTGCTTAGGATACTGAGATGAATAAAAACTCCCTTTCTTGGAGGAATTCATGATGGGATAAGGGAGACAATATTTTAATAAGAATGTGATGTTGTAATAGAGATATGTCCAAAGTGCTGTGTGAGGGCACAGGAGGGAATGACTAGCTCTATATGGAGACATTGGGAATCTTCAGGAAAGAGGTGATAATTGAGCTGAGCCTTAATGATGAGGAAAGAGAATGGCCTTGGTGACATTTGCAACATTTATAGAGGCAAAGAGGGGAAGATAAGTAGATCCACGTGGCTGGAATATAAGAACTTTGGGATCAAAGGAGAGGTTATTGATGAGACTAGATATAATGAGGCCAGGTTTTAATGGCCTGTGGTGGTGTGCTCAGAAGATTCACTTTTGTGAGCAGGGAGATGATGTGATTGTATTTTGGGAAGCTAACTGAGGAGGTAGACTGAAAGGGGAGAATCTGCATCAGGGACATTAGGAGACTCTGGTAATAACATAGGCATGGTTTAAGACTGAAGTAAGGATTAGGTTAGTGAGGATGGTAAGGGGATGGGTCTGAGAGAGACTAGAGAGAGTCAGCCTAACCTAATGATTAACCGGTTGTTGAGAATAAAAGAGGGAGTTGTTACGG